CACACACACACACACACACACACACACACACACACACACACATCCACACACACACTCACATCCCCCCCACACACACATGTACACACACGCGCGTTATTGAGAAGATACAAACACACTCCTCCATGTACGCGCGGCCATGTCTCACAATCCGTACATAATCTGCAGATCTGTGCTGGATCCCTTCCGAGGCCGCTGACACACCTACTCGGACGAAGGGGTTAGGAGAAGGGCTGGGGCGTGGAGGGGGAGGGGGGAAGGGGAAAGGGGGGAGAATGGGGGAGAGGGGGAGGTAGGAGAAGGGGGGAGGGGGGTAGGAGAAGGGGGAAAGGGGGGAGGAGAAGGGGGAGAGGGGGAGGTAGGAGAATGGGGGAGAGGGGGAGGTAGGAGAAGGGGGGGAGGGGAGGGGGTAGGAGAAGACAGGGGGAAGGGGTATGGTGAGGGGGTAGTATTATGCTTGGCTTGCCTCCCTTTCTTTATTTTTTTTTATATATTTTGTTTTTGGTTTATGTTTTTTTCTCATCTTTCGTCAATTTTCTTGGTTGTTTTTCTTTTTCTTTTTTTTTCTGAGTTCTCTATCTTCCGCCATCCCTTCTTTCTTTTTATTCTCTATCTTTCTTCCTTTCTTCGCTCTTCATCATCCCTCCCTTCCTCCCTCTCTATCCTCTTTCCCTCACCCTTCCCTCTCCTCCTTCCTTCTTCCTTCCCTCTCTCTCTCTCACCATTATTCATTTTCACTCCCTCTCTTTACTCCTCTCCTCCGCCCTCTCTCTTTCCTTCGCTTTCTTCCCTGCCTATACCCTCTTTCCTAACCTCTCTCCATCTCCTATTTTTCCTTCTTCCCTATCTTCTTACCTCCAGTTTCTTACTAGGCAGTTTCCACCTCTCCCCCCCCACCACCACCACCTCATTTTTTCCTTTTTTTCTTTTCTTCTTCTTTTCTTCTTCTTCTTCTTCTTCTTCTTCTTCTTTTTTAGAAGTCTAAGGTGACACGGACACAGTTCAGAATAGATCCAACTTACACATGACAGTCGTCGCTTTGTGTTTCCTTCGAGAGAGCTAATTATAATCTGCCTCCATTGTCTTGCTTCGTAAGTGTATTACCAGCAACAAAGTATATCGTTATCATTCTTCGTTTTAATTCCCTTTTGTTTTCGTTGTTATTATCTTTATCCTCTTTCGCTTTTTTTTTCTTTATACACACACAATCTCTCGTGTAAATGAACTTTTGAACAATTTTAGAAAGACACAAAAGCGGACGCATATAGAAGAAGAGAGAGAAAGAGAGTGAGTGAGAGAGACAGAGACACGCAGAGAGAGAGAGAGAGAGAGAGAGAGAGAGAGAGAGAGAGAGAGAGAGAGAGAGAGAGAGAGAGAGAGAGAGAGAGAGAGAGAGAGAGAGAGGAGAGAGAGAGAGAGGGGGAGAGTGAGAGAGAGAGAGAGAGAGAGAGAGAGAGAGAGAGAGAGAGAGAGAGAGAGAGAGAGAGAGAGAGAGAGAGAGAGAGAGAGAGAGAGAAGAAGAGAGAGAGAGAGAGAGAGAGAAAGAGAGAGAGAGAGAGACCGAGAGAGAGAGAGAGAGAGAAAGAGAGAGAGAGAGAGAGACCGAAAGAGAGAGAGCCACAACAACAGCAACAACGACAACAACGAAAACAAAAGCGGCAAACCAAAGGCCATATTAGATATCAGGGAAAGAGGACGGCGACGTAGCGCTTGTTGACCTGGTTGTGATCATAACCCCTTCCCTTTCCCTTCTCTCCTTCGCTCTCTCTCTCCTCTCCTCTTCGCTCCTTCCCTCTTTCCTCTTTGCTCTTACCCCTTTTCCTTCCGCTCTTTATCCTCTCTCCTTTGCTCTTTTCCTCTTTCCCCTTTGCTCTTACCTCTCTTCCTTCCTCTCTTCCCCCTCTTCCCTTCGCTCCTTCCCTCTTTCCTCTTTGCTCTTACCCCTCTTCCTTCCGCTCTTTTCTCTCTCCCCTTCACTATTTTTCCTCCCCCTCTCCCTTTTCCCCTCTCCCATTCGTTCTTTCCCTTCTCCCCTAGAGGAGGGAGGGAAGGAGAGAGTGTGGGAGGGAGCAGAGACAGGAGGGAGGTTTGAGGGAGGGAGTGAAGGAAAGAGAGGCTGGTAGGGAGAGTAAGAGAAAGGGAGGGTAGGAGGAGGGAGGAAGAGCGGGTAGGAGGGAGGGTAGGGAACAAGGAGGAAACGAGGGAGGGATGGAGGGTTGGAAAAAGGGAGGTAAAGAGAGAGGAAAGAGAGGAAGGCAGGAGACAGAGAGAGAGGGAGGGAGGTTGGTAGGGAGAGTAGGAGGAAGGGTGAATAGAAGGAAGGGGGAAGAGGGAGGGAGGAAGAGAGAGTAGGAGAGAGCGAAGACGGAGGGCAGAGAAGTTGGGGGGAAGGAGAGAAGGAAGAAGGGAGAATAAGAAAGAGGGAGAGAAGAGGGGAAGGAGAGAGGGTAAGGACGGAGGGAGGGTAGGAGGAAGGGTAGGGAAGAAAGTGGGAAAAAATGAG